TCAAAAGTTTAAAGTCTAATTATAATGAATATCATAGTTTGGGGACATATAATGTAATTAACTATAAATGTACGAAGGGATCTATATTTAAATTAAGTATAACATATTTTAAAAAATAATTTAGTTAAAATAAAATTTATAACATAAATCATTAATTTCTTATGTTAATAAAATAATACTTATAATATATTTTAAAAAGAAATAATTAATATCATTTTTATTGTCATAAGACATGCAAGTTAACTTTTATAATGTGAAATGGTTATAATTGAATAAATTTTAAAGTTTATAAATGAACATGCATTAATAATTGATGTTATATATTTTGTAATACTTACACTAAAATATAAATAAATTAAAATTATTTAATTTATGAAATATGTTTATAAAATATTATATATATTAAATATTTATTAACCATAAAAGTAATTAATTTCTTTTTAACTTTTGATTTTAATAAATGATTAGTTTAGAGTTTGTGTTTAATGTTTATAAAGGATAAGATATATTTAGGATTTGAATTTGGGTTTACTATTTAGAATTTAAGATAATGCGAAAGTCTAGTAAATTTTGGTGAATCCATAATGAGGAGTTATTGGTAAAAGCATATTGTTCTCCTAAAAAGTTTTGAGTTTAAACAGTTACGTACGTAAATATGTTGTTAATAGGTTAAGAATTTTTTAAATATATACAGCTTTTTAAGCACCTAAACTATTCAAAAATAAAATAGTATTTTAGTTCAATATAAATATTAGAGGGCTCGAGTTTAAACACTTGTCTGTATAATGTGTCTGTATAGTGTGTTGTTATCCAATGTTTCAGCTTTGAGAGCTAGATTGTGGTGGAATAATCGATGCCCGAGTTCCAGTCCTTCGGTTCAGGATTTCGTTAGAGATCCATGTGTTGCAATTAGTTGTGGTTAACATTGTCTTGGTGTGTGAAGTCGGGGGATGTGGAGTTGGCTGCTTTTGGGGTTAGTCCTTAGCTCGGTACTGTTTGGTGGCTGGTGGAGCGAGTCGGGAAGGATCTATTTTATTATTTTTTTCATTGGTTGTATGTTATTTTGAATCTAGTTGTGCGGAGATGGTTCTAATATGTTTTGTAGTTTGCTTCTTGCTACTGATTGCGATTGTTTTCTTGGTTGTTTGAGTTCGGTTGCTCGCTCAGGCTGCTTAGTCGAGTGGAATGAATTATTATTATTTTTTTGAAAGGACAAGTGGAATGAATTATTTGTAGTGGAGCAGGCTGTTTTGTTGGTGTTACGTGTTTTCTCTGCGGTTTGGGCTAGCATAGTTCAGACGATTGTTGTTCAGGCATTGTTGGGTGATTAGTGGTGAGCGGAGTAGTGATGCAGTGTCTGTTTAGTTTGTTCTCAGTGAAGGTGTCTCTGCTGAAGGAGTGCTCGTGTCTAATCAGCTTGCTGCTGGGTGATCATCCGGTCAAATTGTTGCTCTGTTTCGTGTTTTTTTGGTATTTGCTGCTGTTGTAGTGTCCTGTTTTTCAAGTTTCAAGTGTGGCTATTAAGTGGTATTAGTTGTGTTGTCTCAAGAAGGAGAATGAAAATGACCATCCAGCTTAGTTGGTAGAGCACAAGGTTCTTAACCTTGAGGTTGTGGGATCGAGTCCCATAGAGGGCATTTCATAATTTGGAGGTCTCCTACGAAATTGTTCTCAATTTAGTGTTGGGGGCAGCCTACTATCTTACCTCCCCTTATCTCATTACATATGGGAACAAGGGACAACCAATTCTCAAGAAGGAGAATAATGGTTAGTTGGTGTATTTTGTGGCTGAGAATAATGGTTAGTTTGTGTGTTTGGTGTATTTATGATTTGGTTATTAATCATACAAAACACCCCCTTTAAAAAATATGTTATATTTTTAAAATAAATATTTTTTTAATAATATATGAATATTTAAAAATAAAATAGTGTTTTAATTTAATACAAAATATTGGATAAAAACTTTTAATTGATTTTTTTAATTAACTTAAAATTAAAATTAATTAAATTAAATTGATTCTATTGAATGAATTTAATTCGATATGTTTAGTTTATCTTAAACTAATTCTTTCACTCATTAGTTAGTTTTAAACGAGCATAAAATTTAAGCTAAAATCTGGAAGTGCAAAGGAATACTATAGGATAAATCCAAATATTAATTCCATCGAAATATGCAAGGGTACAATTATACATTAAAAAATATCTTTAACATCATTAAAATGCATCAAAACATATTTAATCTTATAATTAAAACAAAAGACAAAAGAATTTGTTAGCTTTGAGGTAATTAAGCAAAGAACCAACATACTCATTAACCACTTGATAGTAATTAAATCAGTTGATGGCAGAGCAAATTCTTCTAATTTCACCGTTGGTGCCTATCTTCACTCCGATATTACTCATCTTCACCATGGACCTTGCAAATTCCACGTTAAAGTTCAACGCCGGCGACCCTCTCTCACCCATGAAACGCTGCACAAAGGTCCTGGTGGAGGCATCGGTCTACAGTTTCTGATCCGACTCCAGTATTCCCCTACCATTCCTCAAGTTGGCAAAAAACGACGTGTCGAACCTGTTTCCACTACCCGTGTCCAAATCAACGCGCCTTGACCCGTCACCGTTTTGCGGGCAAAGAGCTTGCAGTTGAGGAACGAATGCCGGGTTGATTGTGGGGTCGTGACCACCGTTGGTGAAGTTGTATAATCTGTAGCTAAATAACTGGCAAGCCGAAGTCCCTATGGTGTGTCCTCCTGCAACAGATTAAAGAAACATCAAAGGTTTAGCTGACCAGAAGAAATATGAACTTTCTAACAATAAGGAAAAATTTCTTACCAACAAGGGAAACAAGATCCTGAGTGTTAAGACCGAAGGCAGCGAACTTTTGCTTTTGAGAATCAATGGACTCTGTAAATCCAGGCAAATTGGAAGTATCCGATGCCAATGAAACCCTCCCATCTCTGCGTCCTGTAGGAACCTGCCAGTTTATTCCTCTCGTCTGCATTTCATATACGTATGTCAGCCATCGCGTTAGTTAATAGTTTTGATCAGTAGTATATTATAAGATCAACAAAACGCATTAATGTTTACCAGAAAAACGGAGTCACGAGCTGCGAGAGAAAGAATATCGGCGCATGAAACGACGCCGGGGCATGCAGCTTCGAGCTGAGTTTTGGATTCGTCGATAGCTTCGTAGCCTCTCAGCAGTCTGTTAGGAGGGGCGGTTTTCTCGGTGTTAGGGCCATTGATGAGGATGGAGGCGTCACATCCTTGGACAAAGCAGTCATGGAAGTGCATCCTAAGCAAACCGGGTGCAATGGCTGGATTAGAACGGAAATGGGATTGAACCGTTGACCTAACAATGGATTCAGCTCGAGGGCATGTTCTTGCATAGAACCCAACTCGAGTTCCCTGAGCATGAGCCAATGCAGCAGCCATGTCGAACATGACTGCCATTGCAAGGAAGAATCTTGGGTTGGTTAAAGCGCTCTTCATTGCGATAGTAGATTGAAATGATAAGACGCAAGTGCTGAGAGAAGATATTGGAGTGTCAAATGGCTGTATTTGCTTAAGATATTGTGGAACGAATAGAGGACAGCAGGGTTTATTTATAGGCTAAAACCAAAAGAAATATAGTCAACTTAGAGAAGAAGTAAAGAAAGCAGCCTATAAGGAGCCGGCAGTCAATAATGATGAGTTGGAATTCAATGATACTTCGCATGCACGAGCTTTTGTTAAAGCATGCAAGAACAACTTTCAAATTCTACTGGCGACGCCAGCCGTGTTTCAGCTTCACGTGAGGATCAGTATTTTTTTGAATAGTACCATTCTTGATATTGTTTACATCTTAATATAACATATTATGAGTAACTATATTCATCTACGGAGGGCATTTCATAATTCGGAGGTCTTCTAAGGAAGTTGTTCTCAACCTGATATTAGGGACAGCCTATTATCTTACCTCCCCTTACCCTATTAAGGGACAACCATTTTTATATTCATCTACCAAGACAAAAAAAAAATCAATTTAAGGATTCAAATTGAAGGGAAAATCAATAAAAGAATAAGTTTCCATCGACTAGAGGAGCGATAATAAACTCAATCATAGAAAAATATTTTAAAAGTATGGTTAAAATTTATACCGGAGAAGATTAAACTTTTGACATTTTTATAAAAAAATGAAAAAAAAAAACTTATTAAAAAACACAAATCTCAACTATCTAAAACAAATCTTGGATATATAAAATAAATGGCACAACGATAAAATTATCCCTGATATTTGCACAAATGATCATTTATCTTTTATTCATTTTTTTAAATATTTTAACCTCAATGTTTTACATAAATCATATTAGATGAAAATCGTTAATTTATTAACAATCAACACATATTGTTGACGTGACAATTCTACATATATTCAATTATTGATGTGACATATGTCATGTCATTTAAAGTAATGATATGTTATATGGCATGCCAACAATTGAACGCATGTGGAAATGTCACATTAATAATATATATCGATAGTTAGTCATTTTATTATTTGCATCTAATAGGATTTGTTTTGACCATAAATTATATACTAAAATAATTGATTAAAAATAAGTTTTAAACTCGGTAAGAAATAAATTTAAAATCTAATAAATTCTTGGATATAAAATAGTAGGTCTTCACCTGAAACCAAAACGCGCTCGCCATTCCAAATTGCATGTTGATTCCTGTCTACGGCAACGAATTGGCCCCTCCTTGTATGCATGCTTAAGCTAAAAGCTCTTATAATTATGTACCATCTCATTATTATTCTGCACCTTCCTCATGGCCGGCTTTCTTGACTTCTTCTCTATGTTGACCGGGTTTCTTTTGCCCTATAAATATACCCTGTTCTGCTCTGCTCTCCCCACTCCACACAATCATAGGCAAATACAAGTATTCAACCATTACAAACACCATTCTTTTCTCTTAGTTTATCTCTTTATTTCTTATCATTTCAATTTACTATCACAATGAAGAGCGGTTTCACCAATCCTAGGTTCTTCCTTGCAATGGCAGCCTTGTTTGCCATGGCTGCTGCATTGGCCCATGCTCAGGGTACTCGAGTTGGGTTCTACGCAAGAACATGCCCTCGAGCTGAATCCATTGTTAGGTCAACGGTTCAATCCCATTTCCGTTCTAATCCAGCCGTTGCACCCGGTCTGCTTAGGATACACTTCCACGACTGCTTTGTCCAAGGATGTGACGCCTCCATCCTCATCGATGGCCCTAACACCGAGAAAACCGCCCCTCCTAACAGACTGCTTAGAGGCTACGAAGCTATCGACGATGCCAAAACTCAGCTCGAAGCTGCATGCCCCGGCGTCGTTTCATGCGCCGATATTCTTTCTCTCGCAGCTCGTGACTCCGTCTTTCTGGTGAATAGTACTTCGTTTTCTCAATCATATAATAATATACTACTGAAAAGAAAAACTTTGTAAATTAATCCAACGGCTTGCTGATTGTATTTTTCATACGTATATGAAATGCAGACGAGAGGAATTAACTGGCCGGTGCCTACAGGACGCAGAGATGGGAGGGTTTCATTGGCATCGGATACTTCCAATTTGCCTGGATTTACAGAGTCCATTGATTCTCAGAAGCAAAAGTTCGCTGCCTTCGGTCTCAACACTCAAGACCTTGTTGCCCTTGTTGGTAAGCTATTTTACCTTAATGTTGGATAGTTTTTACCGAAATTATATCTCTTCTGGTTAGCTAAACCTTTGATGTTTCTTTAACCTGTTGCAGGCGCACACACTATAGGGACTTCGGCTTGCCAGTTATTCAGCTACAGGTTATACAACTTCACCAACGGCGGTCCCGACCCCACAATCAACCCGGCATTTGTTCCTCAACTGCAAGCTCTTTGCCCCCAAAATGGTGACGGCTCAAGGCGCATTGATTTGGACACGGGTAGTGGAAACAGGTTTGGCACGTCGTTCTTTGCCAACTTGAGGAAAACATCCCACCATGAATAAGAGAGACAACAAATGCTGGAAATAATCTTCAAGCTCATGCACATTATTTTCCCATCGATTCTTAGCTGAATCATGGTTAGTTGATAGAGGGTATGACCATTTTTATCGTCTGATCAGAGAGGAATTATCACTGAAAATTCTTTTCAACAAGTTTCTAATGCTTGATTTTTCTCTTATTTTTGCAACCATAGGTTCTCGATCGTCGTTCATATACTCTTCATCGATGTTTCCACTGAGGACCACCAATTTCCCCCCACATATAACGTATAGCTCACAAAAACCAGGTCTGTTTTGATGAACATAGAATTCTACACTTATTACACTCTTTGATCTCCTATGGTACATAAATCAATTCATGGAAATACCTGACTTGAATATAAAATCAGTGGGAATTCAAAATTTAAGAAAATTTTCATACCATGATGAAGATTTCATGAATGTCAAACCATGACAAGTTTGTTGTCATCAAATCTACTATGAGCTGGTGGATAGGTTCATCACATTTCTCAGCTTTTACCTATGAAAAACCCCCCCAAAAAACTATTATTATCAAATCAATGGAGATACAGTAAAAACTAATAAAACCATCACAGCCATAAGCATATAGAACAAAATCTTGCCACAGAAAGCTATATTCTTGGAGAATAGCTTGTCTGTCTTCTCTTGCTCATACTTCCTCAATATTTTCAGCTTCTCTTTACTCACGACACTCGTTGAAAGCTTCCCGATTTATGAAGAAGATGAAAAATTGATGATCAAATGAAGAAGAAAAAAAGAATTAAACTCAAGATGCTTGGTTTTTTTTTTAACTTACATAGGGTGTCAACAAAGTCCTTGGAAATGTTGTAAGTAACATGAAGGAGGACTATGGAGAATGGTTGAGAACTCCATTTTCTTAGAGTCCAAGCCAACATCTTATATCCATCTCGTATATCGTTTTCATTTAAAAACCAGGACAGTTACATCCCACCATATGAATAAGAGAGAAGAAGAATGAAGAGGAAGATTACTTTTTTTCTTCAAACTTTTTCCTTAAATGTCAATCAAAAGTTTTGGTAGTCAAACATTGACAAAACAATACCAGGTCATAGGTTTAACATGCCACATCAGCATCTCGTTACTCGAGTAACGGTCGTTAACGGAAAGTGACTTATTTGTTACAAATCGATAATGTTAGTGATTAATTTGTTACTTTTGAAACTTTAGTGAGGAAAACAAAAACTTACTCAAACAATAGTGACCATTTGTGTAGTTTACCCTTTATTTAAAGGGAAAAGATGTTGAACGATGGCATTCCAGGTAAACAGCTAACGGTCCACGTGTGTTTTCCATGACACCGGTTAACGACGGGTGACCAATTTATAACAAACGATAACGTTAGTGACCGATTTGTAACTTTTGAAACATAAGTAGTGAAAACAAAAACTTACCCAAACGTCAGTCACCATTGGCGTAGTTTACTCTATTTCATATAATTAGATATAAACTGCTCCCTTGAACTGCCAATTGGCTAACCCTAAAGTAACAGCTAGCCGTTGACTTGCCTGATAAATGTATTCAGATTTTGGACCAAATCAAATTTAGTAAACTAAAATTAATCAAATAGTCAAAAATGGCTATTATAATTCCTTTTCTTGTATATTCACAATCTTAGATCAAATGAATTAAGTCAAAATCTAATTAATTAATTTTTGTTTTTTATTTAAGAAAAATAATATCATTTAAGTTTGTTTTATTATTTATATTTTTAATGTATAATTACTCTTTCTAAAAGTGTTGTATTAATTAAACAAACCGTCATTTTATATTTAATTTTTTTTTCTTATAAAAATATAGAAGGGTTTTTATACAATTTTTTTCTGAACGTTTTGTACGGTTTTATTAAGTAATACTTACAAAATAAGGTATAGACATTACCTCGTTAAAAAACTCTCTAATCTTAATGGAGGAAAAAGAGTGTGCCATGTCGATGGAACAACAATTCAATACAATAGATCTTCCTAGAAGATGACCAACAACAGATCCAGAACTTACAAGCTGCTCACACAACATGGTAAAAATAACCCACCCACGAATCAAGGATTCACAAAAGAAGTAAACTACACAATACACATACACCAAACCCATACTACATACAATCAGATTCACGACTTAAGGGTATAGACCAAACTAGAAATGGGGAGAACTACAGTTCAACAGGTGCCAAAAGGAAAACCAGTGTCCAAAAGCAACAGCTATGAACACATTAGGACAAACGACCAAGGCGAACTATAATTCTAATGCAGACAGCAATGCACCAATGAAGATGCGCAAAACGCTACCAGGGTAAGTCCGGGAGTGCACCAAACTGCAGCAACACACCCCCATCCGAAGCTCCAACCCGTAGCAAATTTGTGGAGAAACGAAATGCAGCAAGAGACCCACAGAAGCCAAAAACACCAACTCGCCCAAACAACAAAACAACAGCGATCAGCAACACCCTTCCGTATCAGAACAGACAAAACAAAACTAAGACTAACGCACACTTTAATTCACAAGGAATACGCAGCATGCTTAGCTAAAACGGACACCAGCTAAAAGGAAGCACACAAAGCCATCACCAATGCGCAGAAGGCTACAGTGGAACCACAACACAGCCGAACCAATAAACTTTTTCATATCTAGTACTTCTCAAAAATCAACAGAACCAACCAGAACAACAGCAGAAGACGAAGCAAAAGCAGAGCATCAAACAGATATCAACATTCGGGACTACATCTTCAGCCAACCAGACAGACTACATTTAGCAGGAAGCAAAGATGAAAACACCAATAACATGACTCCTTAAGAGAACCCGGAAATCAAACCTGTAGGCCATCTAACAAAATCCTAGACCTTTGGAAATGACTCTGGCCACTTACAATTACACCAGAAGCCGATCCTCAATACGGCTAAATCGAAAACTCTATTCGAATCAGAAGCTTTTCCTTGGAACAGAGCCTCATTTCTGCACAGACATACCGTCCACACGAACCCGCTAAACGCCATGAGCCAAACATCTTTAAGGGATTTACGGATCACATAAGGAAGGATTTAACATCTCCAGGGACGACAGCAGAAATGTTCCAAAGTGCAAATCAGCGTTGCCAAGCTTTCCAAAGAACATCACAGTGAATGAATAGGTGGTTTACTTCTTCTAAATTCTTCTTACAGAAAACGCACAGAACGTCGCCCTGGATTGGAACACCCCTCTTCAAGAGCTCTGACATAACTGGAATTCTAGATTGAACTAATTTCCACATAAAAGCTTCAACCTTTGGAGGAGCGAGGTTGGCCCACTCTCTTTACTGGATCGTCAGCAAGGTTGGCTTCATCAGAAAAGATGATGAATTATGTGGCACGTAAAAATATAGAAGGTTAAACACTTATTAGATTTTTATTAACTTTAAAGTTAGACATCCTGATTCCTCCCACTGTCTAATCCAGATTTCATACTTGGTTGTCAACAAAATATTATTATTACTGCTGACATGACTAAATATCCATAGATTCAATGTTGATAATAATGTTCGTTGTATATTTACTTTTTACGAGTTGTTTGATTAGGTTTAATCAAAAAAATTTAATCGTATGATTTTATTTTGTTGAATGAAAAATTAATTTTTAAAGAGTCTAATAACAATTTTTACCCTATTTTTTAGAAACAATTAATTTAATCCTTAAAATTATTATTTTTATCTCATTTAGTCTCAAACTTCTAATTTATTGTCAATTTGAACCAACAATAAATAAATAAAAATATAACAATTTTATTTATTTTTTTACAATTTTTCATTTTTTTTATAATATTTACATTTTTAAAATAAGTCATAAGTCATTCGTTTTATTAGTTTAATCTTGAGAATACTCATTCTTTAAGAAATAATACAAATAGCAAATAACAGTTTATACAATTCCAACTCTCACATGGTGACATATTCATGCTTTAATTATGCAGACAAATGTCCACCCTACAATATAATTTTTTATGTTATTTATTTATTTTATTAATTACGTTTACTCTAAAATTATGTATACCTACATATAAAAAATTTGTATTGTTAATACATGTATGCATATCTTAAAAATATTTTTAAATTTATTATTGCTTTCAAGCACAAAAATAAAATGCAAATAATAAATAATATTTGAGTGATTAAATTATTAAAATTATATATAAAACAATAATTTGTGCACGAATTTTTTTATTTCTTATTGAATACAAAGAAAATATTTTTTACAATTTCAACTCACACATCAAGAATGTTAAAATTATTGCTTATAATAAAGAATCATCGTTGTCGTTAAGTGTATTCAAATTAATTTATGACGGAGCAAATTCTTCTAATTTCACCCTTAGCGCCCGTCTTCACACCGATGTTACTCATCTTCACCATGGACCTTGCGAACTCCACGTTAAAGTTCAACGGACGCGACCCTCTCTCACCCAGGAAACGCTGCACAAAGGTTCTGGTGGAGGCATCGGTCCACAATTTCTGATCCGACTCAAGTATTCCCCGGCCCTTCCTCAAGTTGGAAAAGAACGACGTGTCGAACCTGTTTCCACTACCGGTGTCCAAATCAACGCGCCTTGAGCCGTCACCGTTTTGCGGGCAAAGAGCTTGCAGTTGAGGAACGAACGCCGGGTTGATTGTGGGGTCGGGACCGCCGTTGGTGAAGTTGTATAATCTGTAGCTGAAAAACTGGCAAGCTGAAGTCCCTATGGTGTGTCCTCCTGCAATAGGTTAAAGAAACATTAAAGGTTTAGCCCTACCAGAAGAAATATAAACTTTCGAAATTTGAACACTGAGGTAAAATAGCTTACCAACAAGGGAAACAAGATCCTGAGTGTTGAGACCAAAGGCAGCGAACTTTTGCTTCTGAGAATCAATGGACTCTGTAAATCCAGGCAAATTGGAAGTATCCGATGCCAATGAAACTCTCCCATCTCTGCGTCCCGTAGGCACCCGCCAGTTAATTCCTCTCGTCTGCATTTCATATACGTGTATATGAAAAACATAATCAGCCAGTCGTAGGATTAATTTACAATTTTTTCTTTTTAGTAGTATATTATTATATGATTGAGAAAACGCAGTACTATTTACCAGAAAGACGGAGTCACGAGCTGCGAGAGTAAGAATATCGGCGCATGAAACGACACCGGGGCATGCAGCTTCGAGCTGCGTTTTGGCATCGTCGATAACTTCGTAGCCTCTCAACAGTCTATTTGGAGGGGCGGTTTTCTCCGTGTTAGGGCCATCGATGAGGATGGAGGCGTCACATCCTTGGACAAAGCAGTCGTGGAAGTGCATCCTAAGCAAACCGGGTGCAATGGTTGGATTAGAACGGAAATGCGATTGAACCGTTGACCTAACAATGGATTCAGCTCTAGGGCATGATCTTGCATAGAAGCCAACTCGAGTACCGTGAGCATGGGACAATGCAGCAGCCATGGCAAACATGACTGCCATAGCAAGGAAGAATCTGGGGTTGGTGAGACCGCTCTTCATTGTGATAATAAACAAGATCTTGTGTTTGCTTATGATTTTGTGGAATGGGGAGAGCAGAGCAGAGCAAGGTTTATTTATAGGCCAAAGGAAATCCGGTCAACATAGAGAAGTAAGGAAAGCCAGCTATGAGGAACCGGCATAGGAAGGTGCAGTTGGTATACAATTATAGTAATTTAAGAGCTTTAGCTTAAACATGCATGCAAGCAAGGGCCAATTCGTTGCCGTGCACAGGAATCAACTTGCAATTTGCAATGGCGAGCGCGTTTTGATTTAAGGTGATCAAAGACCTAGTATTTTATATTTATATATTTTGATACAATGATAAGCAATCATCAAAAAATTTATTAGATTTTATATTTAAGTCAAAACGTATTTTCATTCAAATAGTTTATATGTATAATTAGATGTAGACTGCTTCATTGAACTGCCAACTGTCTAGCCCTAAACTGACAGCTAGCCATTGGCTTGCGTGATATATGTATTCAGATTTTCGACCAAATCAAATTCAGTAAACTAGAATTAATCAAATCATCAAAAGGGGCTCTCATTTCTTTTATATTCGTAATGTTAGCCAAATGAATAAGTCAATATCTCTTCTGTAGATGGTTGTAGTTGCCTCAAATCTATAATATTAACTTGGGATAAATGACAGTAGTAACGAAATAATAAAAGAATGAAAAAGAACTTTTAATTTGAGTTTCGTGTAATGCGTGTTTCTGGCAAGGGCTGCTATTCCTGTCTTAATTGTTCTTGTTAGCCTATGTGGTGGTTTGGTTGTATATCTGGTTTTGCTGTTGAGTAAAAATGGTGGTTATCCAACTTGGGAGCCAGCAGGAGGTAGTTGGTGGTTGGATGGCTGAATCCTATCGACTTTCTTGAGGATCTAATCGTTGAACATGAGCATACTGAGTATTCATAATAGGAAAAAGTACAATAAATGGTTAGCAATTCGTATAGGGGCTGATTTATTTTGGAATGAAATATACTGGTATGAGAACCTTTGATTGTTTGGTGGCTAATTTGCAAGGGGATCAATCCGGCTTCGAGATGATCTCCTACATTGGTCGGGCGAAATAAAATTTTAATGTCGATGGGGTTGTAAAAAGGAAGCTGCATGCTGTTTAAGGAAGCTTTTGAAGTAGCAAAGTTGGCCGAATTTGAGCTCCGTGAAAAATTGAAGAGAATTAAAGGGGTAATCGTTTCTTCTGGCTTAGATTTGGATTTTTATCCGGCTAATATGGGACTGCTTTGTTTTGTTGATTTTGTTTTGATGTGTTAGCGTCAGATCCTTTACCGGATGTGGTGTATCGAACCCGAAACCTCAATAAATAACAACAATTCTTTTACTATTGAGATAACTTGATTTATATTAGTGATGATCAAATTACATCTCTCGGGTTTTGAGTTTAAATATTTATTTGATCTTTATTAACTTTAAAGTTAGACAAATTGATTTCTTTCATTATATAATTTTGGTTCATTACCTGATTGTAAATATAATAACAACAATAATAATAATAATGTTACAACCTTTATGGGCGTTGACATTGCTAAACATTCGCCTTTTTTTTTAATAATACTAGTGATTATAAGATTTTTTTCATAATTTTCTTTAATTATTGATAACCCACACATTCTAACAAACGTAGTTGCTCGAACTAAGGACCTCAAAGGAAAACAATACTCTATTTAGTCACTGAGGCTACTCAATCGATTCACTTAGGCCTGTAAATGAATCGAGCAAACACGAACGAGAGTCTGTTCGTGTTCGTTCGTTTAACTTTAACCGGACAAACGGACAAACGAACGAACACGAACAACTAAACGAACAAACTTTATTGTTCGTGTTCGTTCGTTAAAGAATGTAGCTTGTTTGTGTTCGTTCATGTTCATTCGTTAAAATGATAAATGAACACAAACGAACGAACGTAAAATAACGAACATAAAATTAATTGGGTTTATATTTTATAAGAGTTTTTTTATTTCCTAATAATTTTAGGGTTTATATTTTCTTTAATTGATTTGAGTATTTTTTGTTTAGGTTTTAAAATAGTAGTGGGTTTAAGGTTAAAATTTATTAAGTTTTAATATTTTAAACGAGTCTGGAGACTTGTCTGAATATAAACTAACGAATATAAATGAATACAAATGAACAAACATAATTGAACAAATTACCGAATGTTCACGAACATAAATAAAAGAACGAGCCCTAATTTGTTAGTGTTCATTCATTTAATTAAACAAATATCAAATATAGTTCATACTCGTTCGTTTAATAAATAAACAAACATAAATAAACTTTCCGTCATACGATTCACGATTGCTTCATTGAATGTTCACTTTGCTTAAGGAACTAGATTCATTAAACATATCATTATATTAAACTTATTGAATGACTTCAATGGTAAAAGAGAATTCTTATATAATTTAGATATTTTCTTTATATCTTTATTGATAATTTATTTTCAGTCCCTAAATTTTTATAGGTTTACCCTTCCTAAAATTTTATGTCCGACCCCCAACATAAAATTATACATTTGTCCATCTGTATAACTACATCTGCAATATATTATCAATAAATTAAAAAAATCTAGAAAAACATTCCCTTAATCCACTTAAACTATTAAAAAATCTAATTACATTATATGCAGATCTCTTATTTAAAGCCTCGGAAAAAGCGAGGTTTACTTCTCTAACTCAATGCTTCAGTTCATGCTGCATGGTCAAGATAAAAGCTCCCTTACTCCTAGCAATTAGGGACGGAGCCACTAAGGGCTTGGGAGGGGCTGTGGCCCCTCACCCAGCCAAAGAATTGTTTTTTCACCTTTAATTTATATATATAATTTAAATATTTATGGGATAATTGTGAAATTGCTCCTCCTCATTTTAGAAAAGTTATACTCCTCTCAAATTGAAATTCTGGCTTCATCCCTGTTAGCAATGGCGGTGAATATATATAATTGTATTGACATTATCCAAAAACAAATGCAAAACACGTTGACATTTCTTAAATGTCAACTTTCCATTTAACATTTGACTTTTGTTCTAATAGATATAACCGTTGACTTTTAGTCACAAGGGATGAACCCAAACGAGCAAAAGCCGGATGCGTAACCCAAAGACTAAAGTCATCGCAAGAAAAAGTCTCCCTCGCCGGCATGTCTCATTTAATTTAGGGTTAATTAATGATGTGGACACTTAATTATACATCAATTAATAATGTCATACTTTAAACTTTTTTAAAATCAATTTAGTCACTCAATTATATTTTTACCCTAAAATATAGTAATTTAAAGTTGTTATACATAGAACGTATTGTTGTTATAGTTGAGTAATATAAATTTATGAAACAATAAAGGAGTAACACATGCACATGATTTAGGGAAAAAATACTAATAATATTTTTTGGCTTTAATATTTTACGTCACCTTTTTATCTGATAAATCAATAAACGAGCGACGGATATCACACGACTCGCAAAAATATTAAAAATATTTTTTACATGAATATTTTGTATAGCTTTTTTCAAATTGTTACTTTCATTTAAGTGACGTGGAAATTCCATGTTAAAAATGTTTCTATATTTTCTGTAAGTCATATGAAATGTGTTATCTATTTATTAGTTTATCAATCCACATCACCCATCTATAACAACAGTGAATGATATATAAGAGTCAAATAGTTAACACATCAAACTGATAATAATTGTTTGAACCCAAGATCTTAAAGAAGAAAAACACCGTCTTTAACTACTAAAATCACTCAATAAGTTCTAATTGAGAGGTTAAATTAATCATAAAAAAATTGAAGTATCATATTCTAAGATAAGATATAGTTGAATGATCGAATCATTATTTAACCTTTAATTTACTAAAACAAATATATATATATATATATATATATATAATATGTTTGAGTATGTGTTCGTTGAGTCAATCGATTAATAGAATGACTAAGTGTGGGTAATTGTTTATATATATATATATGTATGTATGATGTATGATGCTACTGTAAAATATGATAAAAAATTAAATGATTAATTATGTTATACGTGTCATAAGTATTAAAGTGTTATGAAAACAAAAAAATATATACCATAAGTTGTATTTATAATTTGTTGAGAAATAAATTATAAATACTTAAAAGATTGACATAATATTTAATCTATATAAAGATGTAGTGGTCTCTCAAGAAATATGCTAACTTGTATTTCTCTTTTTTCGTCAGAAAATTCATACTCAAGAAAATCATATATTTTTTAAGATCTCGATCTTTCAGGTGAGCTCCAACATTTAATTTAGGTATAATTTCGCAAATCTAATATTTTTATTTTCTTTTGATTTGATAGGGCTAAATCTTGGGTTTGTTCGTATCGGATATTTTTTGGTTCTAATACCCTTTTATATGCTCTAATTAGTTTCTAATCAATTAGTTGGAGGGTGTTGAAGTTGTTAAGAGCAATAAATTTGTACATGTAATGATGACCATAACATAATTTTTGAAACTTATCGAATAAATTATGAAAATCTCGACAATTAGATTCCAAATTTTGGAAACCTACTCCGGAGATCGAAACTTTAGTGTAACTTTCGAAAGCTGATATAGAAAACTCTCCAATTTTGCTTACAAGTATCTTTCAACATCAAATAAATATAAAAAAAAATTATTACAATTCGTATTAATATAAAAGAACAAAAACAAATGTGCTTATGCACAGAAGAAAAGAATCATTGTTCTCGTTAAGTGTAATTAAGTTAATTTATGGCAGAGCAAATTCTTCTAATTTCACTGTTAGTGCCCGTCTTCACACCGATGTTACTCATCTTCACCATGGACCTCGCGAACTCCACGTTAAAGTTCAACGGCCGCGAGCCTCTCTCACCCAAGAAACGCTGCACAAAGGTTCTGGTGGAGACATCGGTCCACAGTTTCTGATCCGACTCCAGTATTCCCCTACCATTCCTCAAGTTGGCAAAGAACGACGTGTCGAACCTGTTTCCACTACCCGTGTCCAAATCAATGCGCCTTGAGCCGTCACCGTTTTGCGG